GCTTCAAGGGAAGAACCCTGCTGGCATTTTCCTCGCGCTCCTTGCCGAGGCTTACCCAGCCGACCTGTGTGCCAGCATCGATCGTTGCTTCCAGCTTGCACTTGCTGAGAGACAAGTACAGAGAGTCAAAAAAATCTAGTGCGGCTGATGCCAGTTGCGCTTTTGAAGAGAAGTTGCGTGCTATGCAAAAAGTGCTGGAGTTTGCTTCGCGTCTTGAGTTGGGTGTCGTCCCGAGCTCGATACCCTTCTGTACTGTGATTGCAAAGTCGGGAGACTTGTCGACACCAGAGATAGCATCGCTTCGCACGCATGGTTGAAAATAGGCCTGGGCGTCTCATTTGACAAAGCTTGCTGGTTAATGATATGCAGAAGACCGAAACACGCCGTCACCGATCCATCGTTTTTTTCCTGGCCAACCGTCTGCCCCACCGCCGCCCTCTCCTTTTAAAGGTTACAGGAACGAGACTGGAGTTTGCTTCGCGTCTTGAGCTGGGTGTCGTCCCGAGCCCGAGACCCTTCTGTACTGTGATTGCAAAGTCGGGAGACTTGTCGACACCAGAGATAGCATCGCTTCGCACGCCTGGCGGAAAATAGGCCTGGGCATTTCATGGATATAGATATTGCCCGCACAGGGGCAGGGGACGAGCACGAGGCTGGCGACGCACCTCGAAGGTGGAGGCCCCCTGCCGCCGTCGGGGGCTTCGGCCCGCCGCCCGGAAGGCCCAGCCCAGGAGGCTCTCTCGCTGGGGCTGCCCGCGAAAAGCTCACCGGAGCACCGGGACTCGGCTCGGGCCTCGCCCCCGGGGGAAGTTTCTGCGGCGAGCGAGGGGGGGAAGTAAGGAGGAGGGAGGAGGAGGAGGAGGAGGAGGAGGAGGAGGAGAAGGAACCTGTGGTAGCTTGCTCGCTTGACCCAGCGGATCAGGAACCAGAGGAGAGGCAGGGGATGATTGAGGAGCATCATCAAAAAGGTGGCGAAGGGAGGAACGAGGGAGGGAGGGAAAGATGTTGCGCTTTCATCCTGCTCCTGCCCCCTCCCCTTCTGCTCGTCCCTTCCCCTGCTCCCTCCCCTGCTGCCGCTGCCCTTCCTGCCTCCTGCGGCAGGTCCGCGCCGCCTTGACGCGACGGCGACCCTGCAGCTGCCGCCGATGATTCAAGGTCGAACGATCCGCTCGGTGTCAGAGACCAGCACCGACGTTATCACGACGCGAACTGCCATACGCCGCGTCATACGCCCTTTTTTTCCCAGCTGCTGCTCCTCAGCCTCTTCATCGGCCTCCCCCCCTCCTCCTCCTCCTCCTCCTCCTCCTCCTCCTCCTCCTCCTCCTCCTCCTCCTCCTCCTCCTCGTCCTCCTCTTCCTCCTTCCTATCCTCCTCCTCCTCTTCCAGACCCCCTCCTCATTGCCGTTCCCATCATATCCTCCTCCTCCTCCTCCTCCTCCTCCTCCTCCCCTCCTCCTCCTCCTCCTCCTCCTCCTCCGCATCCTCCTCCTCCTCTCCGCTCCTCCGCATCCTCCGCATCCTCCTCCTCTGTCCCTCTTTCTCTCCCCCCCCATCTGCCCCCCCCCCCCCCGCGTGCGCGTGGGAGCGAGCAGGTCTCGGGATTTCAACCCCGCGGATCAACCTGTCTGCTGCGTCTTGACGATCGGGAATCGTACCGGAACGGAATTTTTGGACTTCAGCACCGCGAATCAACATAAAAGTTGCACCCGAAAAAATCCGGAATCCTTCCCATGCACCATTCCGTGTACGTTGATCATGGGAATCCGTGAAATTCTTCCGAATTTAATGAGCGAGTGTGTGCGGCGCGACGGGGGAGCCACATTCTGAAAAGGAACCGCCCTCAATCCGTGGAACTCATTTCACGTTTTTACAAGGAATATACGCGGCGCTAAGGCGACTGCCGCATTCTGAAAACGACCCGCCCTCAATCCGTGAAATTTTTGCATATGTTTGAAACGAATGTGCGCGGCGCTCAGGCGAGAGCCACATTTTGAAAAGTAGCCGCCTTCAATTCCTGAAACTCTTGGACATGTTTTAATCGAACGTGCTTAGCGCTCAGGCGAGAGCCACAGTTTGAAAACGACCCGCCCAAAAGCCGTCAAACTCTTGCACATGTTTATGAAGAGTGTGCGTGGCGCTACGGTGAGAGCCAGTTTTTGAAAACGACCCGCCCTCAACCCGTCAAGCTGTTGCGAATGTAAAAAAAACGAATGAGCCACATTTTGAAAACGACCCGCCCTTCATCTGTGAAGCTGTTGCCAATTTCTAAGCTTCGGAGTCTTCAATAGTAAGGAAGTCTCAGGCGAAACGCCCAGCCCGCCCTAAAAACTGTCATCGAGGTGCGACCGAGAAAAGTTGTTTATAAGGCAATGGAATGGAGGAGGAGGACGAGAAGAGGAGGAGGAGCCGGAGGAGGAGGAGGAGGCGGAGGAGGAGGAGGAAGAGGAGGAGGAGGAGGGGGAGGAGGAGGAGGAGGAGGAGGAGGAGGAGGAGGAGGAATGAGGAGGAGGAGGCGGAGGAGGAGGAGAAGGAGGAGGAGGAGGATGAGGAAGAGAAGGGAGGACCGGAGGAGGAGGAGGATAATGAGGAGGAGGAGGAGGAGGAGGAAGCTCCCGACTCGAAGGGGGTAGGTGGTGGTGTTCTCCTGCTGGGTGGACCTGTTCATGGGCATCTCGGGCTTGGACGACAAGGCCAACCAGCGTTGACGCAAGACTCCTCGCTCGGAGTGCGAATGAGGAGACAGGCAGAGGGACGATGTTGCTTCTGCTGCTGCTGCTGATGATGATGGTTATGATGTTGCTGCTGATGATGACGGCAGTGCGTATGATGATGGTGGCGGCGGGGGCATCGGCGGTGATGATGATGGTGGTGGTCTTGCCGATGATGGTGATGCTGATGACGCTCGTGTATACTTCTCACACACTGATGCCGTTATCCGATGCTACTAATGTTTCTGATGTTGATGATGAGGATATTGATAATCATGATGGCGATGAAGATATCGATTACAGGACTGATGATGGTGATGAAGATGTTGATGTTGATGGTGATTCTGATGTTACAGTTTCTGCTGCTGTGCTGGCGTTTATGATTACAGATTCATGATGACGGTAATACTGTTGACGATGATGACGTTGTTGATGATGACAGTTATGTTGATGCTGATGGCGATGATAATGCTAATGCTGCAGCCGCTGGGGATGATGGTGGTGGTGTTGATAATGATGGTGATGGTGATGATGATGGCGCTGATGACGATAACGATGATGCTGATGAGGATGGTGATGATGACGTTGATGATGTTGCCGATGCTGCTGTTGCTTCTGATGATGATGATGAAGAGGATGATGATCATACTGTCGATGATGATGATTGTTGGTGATGAAATTTTGATGTTGATGCTGATTCTGCTGATGAGGATGGTGATGCTGCTGATGATGACGATGCCGATGCTGGTGATGATGATGACGATGATGATATTGATGTCGATGCGATGATGATGATGATGATGATGATGATGATGCTGATGCTGATGATGATGACGATGATGCTGATTATGATAATGTTCTGATCGTGCTGATGCTGATGATGCTGATGATGTCGATGCTGCTGCTGATGATGAAGAGGATCAAGCTGATGATGACGATGATGGTGGTGATGATCCTGATGATGATGCTGATGCTGATGCTGATGCTGATGATGACGATGACGATGATGATGCTGCTGCTGATGATGATGAGGGTGATGTTGATGCTGCTGCTGCTGATGATGATAAGGGTCATGCTGGTGATGTTGCTGCTGATGCTGCTGCTGGTGATGTTGATGATACTAATGTTGATGCAAATGATGATGATAATCATGCTGGCGATGATGGTGATGATGTTGATGCTAATGAGGATGATGATCATACTGCCGATGCTGATGATGATGATGATGCCGATGCTGATGATGATGCTGACGATGTTGATACTGATGATTACGACGATGATGACGATGCTGATGATGACGCTGAAGCTCATGACGAGGATGGTGATGATGATGATGGCGATGCCTATGATGATGCTGCTGGTGGTGCTGATGGTGCTGCTGCTGATGATTCGGATGATGACGCTGCTGATGATTATACTGATGATGCTGATGATGCTGATGATGATGATGGTCATGATGATGATGATGATGATGATGATGATGATGATGATGATGATGATGATGATGATGATGATGATGATGATGATGATGATGATGAAACGCAGAAACGCAGTCGCCCACCGATCTGAGCCCGCCGCCCCCCGAACAAGGGGTGGGGGGGGGGGCTAGGCAGGGGCGGCGCTATGCCGCACTGTACCTGCAGCTACATTGTCACGGATGGCCGCTCTGAGGCGACCGCGAGCGAGAGCGAGCCCGAAGCGGCCGCGGCGTACCAAGCACAGCTTGGGGCCCCCCTTTGGAGGGATGGAGCCCACGCTTCAAACGCCTGAGACACTCTCCGAGCCTGTCCGAGGGGGGGTTGCCGAGGCACGGCTCCACGAGGCCACGGGCCCGCGTCGAGAACGTGTTGGCCCCGCATCCCATGCAGAACACGCCCCCCCCCGCTCGGTACAGCCTGTGCGACACATCTAGCCTCAGGTGCCACCAGGGGGGCAACTCTTCTCCCAGCTCAGCGGTCGCACTCTGTTGCCCCCCTGGTGGCCCCCTGCTGCTGCCACTGCCACTGCTAACTTGAGGCTGCTGCTCCTGCTGCTGCTGCTGCTGCTCCTCCTGCCCCTCCCCGTCGCCCCGCCGCCCGACGCTCACGGCCGCCGCTCCTGCCGCCAGTAGCAGGGCGGCCGCGGCGGGCCTGGCCTGGGCATCCCCGCCAAACTGCGGGGGATGGGCGCAGGCGGGGAAGAGGGCGCCAAGGGTGACAGCACAGGGGCGGCAGCACCAGGCCGCTGAGCCTGAGAGGATTGATCCCGACCCGTGCCTGATGCACGGGCGCGTTGGGCAGAACGCGCACTGGCCTAACTAGCGTTTCTGGAGCCCTCGACCGAACAACGCACAAGGCTGAGGCCAGGCGCTTCAAAGCCATCCTCGGCCCTGAGCCAACTGTCCCCCTCCTGCGCGGCCACTCCCGCCCACCGACCAAGACCCACCCCCCACTCGGCAGCGACTGTGGCGGCCTCGGCGTGGGCTGGCCAGAAGGGGTGGACGCTCGCACCTTGTTTTGCGCTGGCGCCGGCCAGTCTGTTGCCCTGCCTCTGCCACAGCGTGATGACTCCACTGTGAACATCATTCATCGAAGCATGGCCCTTCACCTTCGAAATGTGGATATTCTCGCATCCTGCGTCACGGGCGCGACTCCAGAAGAATTGCCAACTCTCGCTGTACGGACGGTTCCAGCACACGCACCAATCCTCGCCCGCCTCCCAGCCATCTAACATGAGCTGAGAGTCGCTGTGCATGTGCACGGGCGGCAGAGAGTGGGCCAGCGTCTCAGCAGCCGCCAGCAGCTCTCCAGCTCCGGAAACACCTCGCCGCGCAGCGGAGCGCCAGCCTTCGGCCCCGCCATGCGGACCACCCGCTTCGCCAGCGGCAGCCCATGTCGATGGGCCGCTTCGGGTCGTCGGTCCAGCGCCTGGTGTGGTCCGCGCCCCAGCCGAGACGCACGGCAGCGAGCACCGCCGCGGCGGCAGGGCCGCGGCCAGCCAGGTCCTCGGCACCCGAGGCCCCCAGGCGACCGCACGCCGCCGCGAGGGCTGAGCCGAGGGCTCGCCTGTCAGACGCCAGCGCCAGCTGCAGCCCCTTCGCCCATGCCACGATGGGCTTCACGATGTGGTCAAAGAGGGGGTCGTCCCATGGCCTGGGCGACACCAGGTAGCTGAGCGAGATGCTCCTGCCCGCACCCGTGCCGAACGCGACCGCCGCCAACCGCGAACGCCAGCCCAGCGGCGCCTTGGTGGGCCAAGCCATGCACGCGATGCCGTAGATCGCGACTGGCTTCAGCCCCGAGTTGGTCAGCTTCATGCCAACAACTTTGGACGATCCTCGTACCTGCTGAACCCTGACGACTTGGGCACATCCAGACCTTAGCCTCGACCGTGCCACGGTCGGCGATCTCTCCTCCATGGTGTAGTCGACTCCATGGTTCTTGGCTTCGCCCGCGCGTGCGACACCCCTCGCCAACGTTGAGCTCGATGGCGCAGCGCAGCTTGTCGGAGCTGTCGAGGATCTCGCTCTTGCCGCGGGAGACCACCGCTCCGATGTCTGATGCCTCGCTCGAGGCCCCATGGCGACGGATCCAGCTGCCTGGCCCAGGTAGATGCCGGCCTCCGCCTCAGTGCCCGCCATGCGCAGCGAGCAGTCGTCGAACGTGATGGCGAGGGGCACCTCCTTGTACATCCTGCGGTGCTCGGCGTCGATGATGGCCATGCAGCGCCGCGGCAGACGCCCAGCGTGCCCGCGGCCAGCCACCAGCCCCGTGGCGAGGAGGAAGGCCTCGGAGACGATGCCGTCTAGGACGATCCTCTTGGGGCCCTCGTAGATGCTGAGCGCCGCCGCCGTGAGCGCCAGCGGGTAGCCCTCGGCCTCCGCGCGCTGCTGGGCCACCCCAACGAGATCACCTCGCGGGCGTTCCAGAGGTCCAGCAGCGCGCCGCCAGAGCAAAGGCCCCGACCATCCGCATCCTCATTGTGGAGGGCCTGCCGCCAGATGGCCCCCTCGGCCGCCTTGCCCTGGCCGCCCCAGAAGTTGCTGATCTTCTCCTGGAGAAGCTGTGCCTCCCATGCGCGGCTCTCCTCCTGACGGACGCGCGCCCGCCATCGTGGCGGCCAGGTCAAACGGCCGATCGGGCGGAAGCCGCCAGCTGGTTTGAGAAGCATCACGAGGTGCACCAGCCGCGCCGCCGAGGGAAACCGTTCAAGCCGCTCACACGCTATGCCGAGGTCGATGCGGCACTCGATGCACGGGTCGCTGGTCTCGACGATGAGCCGCGGGCTGAACTGGTCTGCTCCCGCGCCCGTGCGCCTGGCGAGCTGCTTTGCCGCCCGACGCGCACGCTCCAGCGAGGGCCGTGCCATCGAAGGCCCAGTCGGCGGTCTCAGCGTAGGCGTCGCCGCGGCCGCTGCGTCCTTCAAGGTCCAGACCTCTTGGGACCAGAACCTGGCGACGGCATCGACCCTGTCCTGACCGCCCACAGGGGCGCCGTCCACGATCTCGTCTGGCAACCAGCCCTGGGGCCCACGGCGGTACGCGTGGACGGCGCCGCCCCCAGCCCGCATGGAGCGCGCGCTCCAGTCGGCGAAGCCCCTGGCCTGGCTCGAGCGGAAAGCGTCGGTGAGCGCATTGGCCTCAGCTTCCATGGCGTCGGCCCAGGCTGCACGGGCTGCGGGGGGCGCCAGAGGGGCCGTCAGGCTCACGGCCTGCCAACAGGGGGGGGCAGGTCGCGACGCGTTGCGTCCCTGCGCGTCCACTGCGCCATAGCCCGAAGGGGCCTCGCCCCCCCGCGCGCCTTGGGCTGGGGGCGCCCGCCAGGGTCGCGAGGGGGATTCCTCCAGCGGTATCGGGCCGCGCGTCCTCGCCCCACCATCTTGTGGGCGTCCTCAGGGTCGATGTGGAATACCTGGAGCAGCTCCTCCTCCACGTGGCCAATGATCCCCAGGAAGGCCCTGGCCAACTCGTCCTGGGAGCACGCCATCTCGCATGACGCCCTAACCTCAGCATCCACCTGCGGGGCCTCCTGCGCAGGCCCCACGGGCTTCTCCCTGGGAAAAAGGGCCTCGGTGCATCCAGGCGCCTCTCCCGCGGCTTCTCGCCCCCTTGCTTCCGCGAGAGGGCGACAGCACGGGTCGTCGATGATCTTGCAACTCCTGGTCCTGTGGGCCAGGTCGAGCGACGCGATGTAGAAGTCCAGCTCCGACGGCGGGGCATCCTTGGCAAAGAAGCAGGTGCCCTGGCGGACGAAGTTGCTGACGACCTGGCCGCGCACGCCCTCGAGCCAGCACCGCGCTTTGTCGGTGAAGATGTCAGGGCCCACGTTGAAGTCGCCTCCGACCACGAACGATCTCCCCGATGCCCTGAGGGCGCGGCCCAGGTCCCGTAACACGCTCCACGACGACTCCCCCAGGTGATTCTTGTCCAAGTAGATGCTGGCCGCCAGGATGCCGCCTCTCTTGGCGCCCTCGGTGCGGAGGCATGATAGTGGTAATGACGTGCTGTTGACGCGGATGATGGGGAGGCCGGCGCCATCACGCTTGCTCATTCTCTGATCCCCCTCTTCCTGACCCATCGTTTTTGTCCGTCTGATCCGCCTCGCCGGCTCTCCCCCTCATTCTCATATGATGGCCTTCGGCACATCCCGCCACAGCGCCTGGGCTGTCGGTATGACGCCTTTCGACGACGTTCGTTGGGGTCTCGTGGGGGGCCTCTCGGGAGCCTCTTGGAGGCAGCGTTGAGGCATCTTGGGGGCCGTTTTGGCGCCTCTTCGGGCCCGCGTGGGGCCTCTTGGGGGCCTCTTGGGGTCTCCTGGGGGCCTCTCGGGGGCACCTTTGGGCCTCCTGGGCGCCTCTGGGGGGCCCCTTGGGCGCCTCTTGGAGCGGGAGGGCTCGGATTTCGGGTTCGTGTTTTTTTTCTCTCTCTCTCTCTCTCTCTCTCTCTCTCTCTCTCTCTCTCTATCTCTCTCTTGGGTTCCTTTTGGGGCTGTCTTGGGGCCCTCTTGAGCCGTCTCGGGCACCTCTTGATCAGTCTTGGGGCCCTCTTGGGCCGTCTTGGGGCCCCCCTGGAAGCCTCTTGTGCCGTCGTGGGGCGATCTTCTTTGGCCGTCTAGGAGTGTCGGGAAGCCGACAAGGCGAGAAAGCCACACACCTTGAATAACCTATAGGAAGTCAATGGTTCTTGCCTCTAAGGGCCCTCTTGGGAGGCCTCTTGACGGCCTCGTGGTGCGTCTTGGAGGCCTCTTGGGCCGTGTGGGGGCCATCTTGAGCGTCTTGGGGCGATCGTTCGGCGACTTGGGGCCCTCTTGGACCATCTTCGGGGCCTCTTTGGGCCCTCTTGGCCCGTTTAGCGCCTTTTTGTATGTGAAAAAGCCATGCGACAAAACGCGGGGGAGCCCAGGGGGCACGCGGGACCCCCTGGTAGATTTTGTAAATCAGGGTCTTGGCCCCTATGTTACTCCTCAGAACTGTGGACTGGGATTCAGGGGACTGGGCAAAGGACTTGAGGACAGTGGCCAGCAGCAAGGTGAGAGATCCAGCCTCCTCCAGGGGAGAAGGAGGGCGTGGACCAGGTGGAGATGGAGGTGCACATGACGTGGAGGAGGAGGAGGAAAAGGAGGAGAAGGAGGAATAACAGGAGGAAGTGGAGAAACAGGCGGAGGAGGAGGACGAGGAGGAGGAGGAGGAGAAGGAGGGGGAGGGGGAGGAGGAGGAGGAGGAGGACATGGAGCAGGGTGGATAGGAAGGTGTGGACGCGGAGGATAAGTTGCAGAAGAATAGAGATGGCAGAGGACGGACAGCAGGCAGGGGTCAGGAGGAGGAGGTTGGCCAATTATGCCGTGGAAGATGAGGAGGAAGAGGAGGGAGGGAGGGGGAGGAGGGAGGAGGAGGGAGGAAGAGGGAGGCGGAGGGAGGCGGAGGGAGGAGGAGGAGGCGGCGGCGGAGGAGGCCGTCTCCAAGAGGAGGCCATGCAGAACACGGCTCGGGCACGCGTTGGCGCCCGGCCTTCTCCGAGCGGGGACTCACCTCACACAGTTCTCGGCAGGAGGCCAGTTCTGGACGACGGCGAGGAGGGTTCGTACCGCGCCTCCAGTGGGAAGCAGACACCGTGGTGCCTTCGCGTCCGCCAACTCTGCGGGCGGCACGAGGGGAGGAGGACGTGGAGGTAGGAGGAGGAGGAGGAGCAGGAGGCAGGCGGAGAGGGAGGAGGACGTACAGGTGGGAGGGAGGAGGAGGAGGAGGAGGAGGAGGAGGAGGAGGAGGAGGACGTGGGGGGAGGGTGGGGAGCGGATGGATGATGATGATGATGATGATGATGATGATGATGATGATGATGATGAGGATGAGGATGAGGATGAGGATGAGGATGAGGATGAGGATGAGGATGAGGATGAGGATGAGGATGAGGATGAGGATGAGGATGAGGATGAGGATGAGGATGAGGATGAGGATGAGGATGAGGATGAGGATGAGGATGAGGATGAGGATGAGGATGAGGATGAGGATGAGGATGAGGATGAGGATGAGGATGAGGATGATGCTGATGCTGATGCTGATGATGATGATGATAATGTTGCTGATGATGATGATGGTGGTGATGGTGATGGTGATGATGATGAGGATGAGGATGACGATGACGATGCTGATGATGATGATGCTGATGATGTGATGATGCTGATGATGATGATGCTGCTGGTGCTGCTGCTGCCGCCGATGATGATGATGATGATGATGATGATGATGATGTTGCTGATGAGGATGATGCTGATGATGATGATGATGATGATGATGCTGATGCGGATGGTGATGCTGATGGTCACGATGATGGTGAGGCTGATGGTGATGCTGATTAGTGTGTTGATGATGATGCTGATGCTGATGCTCATGAGGATGAGGACGAGCACGATGATGATTTACGATGCTGGTGATGTTGCTGCTGATGCTGCTGCTGATGACGATGCTGACGATGCTAATGCTGATGCTGCTGGTGATGATGATGATGACGATGATGATGATGCTGATGATGCTGCTGCTGATGATGCTGATGATGAGGATGATGCTACTCATGAATATGCTACTGGTGATGCTGATTATGATGACACATGATGATGGTGCTGATGATGATTATGCTGATGCTGATGCTGCTGATGATGATTATGAGGCGGAGAAGGAGGAGGAGGAGGAGGCGGAGATTGAGATTCGGATTGCGATCCCCGTTGCGAAGCAAGTCTGGGTTCGCTTAAAGCTGAGCCCCTGGCGGCTGCCTCGGTGGGCCAGCCTTGCCCTGGGTCTTGGGGGGAGCCCCTCAGCTAAGCGACGGAGGTACGTGCGGCCTGTACGAGTCGGATGGATCGAACAAGGCTTGCCCGAGGAACCCACCTGTTAATCAGCAATGGCCCCACACGAGCCGCAGAACCACACCTTCACTTGAGAGTGGTAGTTGAGGAGATGGGTTGGAAGCAGCCAGCCCCCCGCTACATGTATACGCATCCCTTGGGCTGGGGAGTGAAGGGTCCCGTCCACAAAACAAACACCTCAAACACTTACGTGGACACTCCGAGAGCCGATGAGCCGAGCGGAAGGAGGAGAGCACAGCAGCAGAGGGGCGGGGAGGGGTTGGGGGGGGGAGGGGGTACCCCCTCTTTCACTCTCTCCCTGGCACCCTGGGCAAGCTCTTGCTCAGCACGGAAGCAGTCAAGTGTGGCACGAAGGAGCCGCATACGCACATGCATGGCACGCCTTTCCTACAAGTGATTATGCTGGTTGATGGGGGCAGGGACGCGGGCAAGGTGGGCGGCGGCGGCGGCCAGACTATCTGCAACAGTGGTGGCCAGAACATGTGTGCTGACAGCGCGCTGAGACACGATGTCCTCCTCGGACTGGTGACTGTGAGTGAAACCTACCGAACTGCAAAAAGGCAGTCGGGCACACAATTGATCGCGGATGCGTGCCCACAGATCAGCGTCAGGGCCATGCGGGCGTTCATACATTCTAGTGTACCACCCCGCAGTAAGTGGTTCGAAATCTGTAAGATACAGCATCTATCCAGTAGAGCTCTCTCTATAGCCAAAAGAAAAACACGGCTTTCCCCTCGGGCGGCCATTTGTCGAATGCCACTTAGAGGGCAATGATGGAGGCTTGGATGGACAGGGGCGTGAGGGATTTAAAGCAGGCGATTGCGAGGCCTACGCGGCGGAGCCTGGGCCACTTGGACTCAAGCCCGCCCGACGCATCCCCAGACACCAGCAGGGCTCACTTTGTGTCCCATGCCCAAGACACCCGCCCACGACCTCAGGTACTCCTTCGGACCACCACACATCGTGATCAACGGGCTCAGGGGCCCATGTCCAGGGCGCTGGAAGGAGACCTCGCTGGCTCGCAGTCACCCAACGTTTCTGGGATACTGATTGTAGCAGGTCTTGCAGTAGGTGGCCGTGTCGGTCTTTGTGTACATCACTTGTGTAGGACTCGTCAGGGAACTGCCATTGCTCGGTCGTGCCTGTGCCTGCGTCTGTGGTGTAGCTCCACTGGTGAGGCTTCTGTGGGTTCCAGCCCGCTCTCATCAATGTTAAGATCACGGCCGAGATTGGGCCCCGCACGTTGCGGGACTGGTCTGCAGGGTTGCGATTGAGCATCTGTGTGTAGATCTGATTCCAAAGTTTATTGATACCCATTCTGAGGTTGGGATGGTCTCGCCACGACTTCAGCCACTGGTCCACGAGTTGGACTGGCAGCCTCAGCGCTGGGTCCTGGCCTGGGGCCTTGAGCTCGAGCACCGTCGTGAGACAGCGACCCTTGCCAGTCCCCCCGCTTGCCTGCGCCGGCCGTCGTCGCACCAGCTGCATCTGCTGTCCGAAGACGCCGTGCACCCGGTGGCCGTACAGGCCAGCAGGGAGGCCTCCTTGCGTCTGCAGTTTGGCCGTCGCCTTGAAGCGCCTGGACGCCTTGGCGAACCTGCGGATCTTGTTCGACATGAGTTGGTGCTTATATTCTCTCATGCGCCGTGTGATGCGGGCACGGCGCCCGCATCCGAAGTCGACGCCCAGGCATGCCGCCTGCCTGGTTCCCTTGCTCTGGTAACCCCGCCTGCGGACTTCACGGATGATGGCCTTGGTACCCTCCGTCGTCGAGCTCATGATGATGGATTTCGGGGCAACCTTGAGACCTGTCGTCTCCAGCAATTGGCACGTGTGGACGACACAAACGATCATATGTTTCTTCACGGCACGGCTGGATCCTGACATCTTCTGAGGCAAATCGTCAACCCATATCCGATGGCTCAGTCTGGGACGTGCTAATGTTATTTTCTGCATGACATAGTGGGTGTGGGCCTTCGCGAAGCGTGTCCCGCTCCGCAGGCCCTGGACCACTGACTGTGATGGTTCAAAGATATCTGACGCCGCGCCCATATGTTCCAGTGCTGGTGGGGAAATGCATTGGACCAGTTTGAGATATAGGAGGATGGGCGGGACATCTAGCGAAAGAGCTGCCTCCACAAGCGGCAGCCATGGTATGGTATCGTAAAACGAAGCGATGTCAAGCATTGCGTGTGAATATGTCATCTGGCAAGTATGAGCAACTTCTTCACCGATGGCACGCAGAAGCGCCTCCTGTAGATATGAATTTTCTCTGATGGCCGCGTCCCAATCCGTAGTATGGTACTGCGTCCATTCTTGAATATGTGTCTCTCTGATCACCGGCCAAGCTCTTCCAAGCATCGGAATCACCCCTATAGCACGATCTGCTCCTGTCTTCTTGGGCGTGAGCTTACCCAGGATGACTTGCGTCTGAATCGTCCACGTGAGTGTGTCCTCGATGGCTGTCAGTCGTAGCGGCATCTCCTGGAGTGCTGTCGGAGGTAGTCGCTGGAAGTCTACTGGCGTGAAACCGTCGACCCCTAGGCCCAGGGAGGCCTTCATTCTGCCGCAGGCATCAAACTATCATAGCTGGAGTGATGCTGGGCAGTGGGTTGTCGTCGGCAGCTGCACGTGTGCGGTTAAACATGTCACGTGTCGTACTGAGGTCGATTTGTGGTGGGGCCCAGAAATCAATGAGTTTCTTCGCCTTCGCGTCCATGATCTCGACAGGGTGGACAGCCACTCCAGTATTTGTAACATATGCATTGCCTGGTAAGTTACTGGGCTTGAGAGATTTGTGCAGAATTCCATTCGCATGTGGTTCCTGGATCCAGGATCTGACATCACGTAAAGAGGCAAATATGACTTGTCGTTGGACGCGGTCGGCCACCCTTCTGGTACATCTCTCCTAGCAGCAGCAGCAGTGGCGACGGCGGCGGCGGCGGCGGCTGCGGCGGCGGCGGCGGCCGCAGCAGCAGTAGCAGCAGCAGCTTTACAGCCATGTGCGCACCGCGTAGTCCGGATTTCGTACTAGAAACGGGGTTTTGGGCGAGAGTTAACGGCAGGGGCGATGGACTGGGGGGGGAAATTGTTTTTTTCTTCGGGCCCGAAGGCCCCCTCTGTGACCTTGAGGGGCCCCTTCAGGGGCCTGAAGGGGTCCTCTTCGGCAGCCCTCGCCGCCCCCCCATTTATCGCCCACCCAACTATCGCGGCCCAAGTGCTGGTTCGATTTTTTGGGGGGGTGGGTCTGCCTGGAGCTGTCTTGGAGCTTCCGTGGGCTCTTGGCAAACATGCCGCCTTCCATAGCCATATTGGGGGTGGTCTGACCTTGTTCGCCTGGAAGGGTTGTGACCCCCTCCCTCTGAAGGGAGCAGGAGGGCGTCAGGAGGGTGACACAGACACACAGACACGACTCATCGCCGACTCCCAGTCAAACTATGGGAACCTGTGAGAAGTGGAGGGCGGAAGGCGAGAGTCCAGAATCCGTGCGGACGCGTCGGGAGCCCCGGGATGTGTGCCTCTTTGTTTGTGTGTCCCGGGGCCCCCCCTCCAGGGAGGGATTGGGCGTTGCGTAATGGGGGGGTCATAAATTGGGGGGCGGCGAGGGTGGTCCGAAAAGGTACCCAAATGGTACCTAAACGAGCCCCTTTAGGCTCTGGAGGGGCCCGAAAGGGGCACGAAAGGGGACCTTTCCTGACCCCCCCATTTGTGACCCCCCCACTAAACCACGCCCAAAGGGAGGATGGCCTGCAGGCCAACGTGTCCTTCCTGCGCATCTTCCGCATCCTGCGGCTGCTGCGGTCCTTGCGCGTCGTGCGGATCCTGCGCCGCCCCGCTCCGCCGCCGCCGCCGGGGCTGGGCCCTCCCCCCCGCCGCCGCGCGGGTCCAGGAGGAGGAGGAGGAGGAGGAGGAGGAGGAGGAGGAAATGGAGCACTGGACTGATCTGGACTGTGGTGGGGGATCATGTATGCCAGCTTTACACAATGAGCAAACCCTGCGGCACGCGCAGTGCCTGCGCTTGTATGGCCTTGGGGTGTCTGAAGGCCTACCACGCTCGCGTGATGGTAGCAACCATCGCGCGGGTGCGGGTGCAGCATGGGAGGAGGATGCCCCCGAGTGCTGATCAAAGAAATCGAACGTCAGGCAGTGGGGGTTGTCCCGTGCTGATACGGTCCCACCCCTGCTGACCCCCCCTTTTCTTTGGGCCTGACGGGAGGCGGGGATCGGGGGGATTAACCCATGGCAGCCTGGAGTGTTGTCTTGCACGTGTGTGGAAGCTGGCTTGCCAGGTTATACCGAGGGTTCAGCCCGCGGGCATGATCATTTTCCTCCGACGTCTGCCTTGCCAGTGGTCTTCCCCGCGAAGGAGGCGTGCCAGCGGTGCGAGCGGTGTTTGTCTACTAATGGTGGCCTCTCGGAGGGCGCCAGCTATGCATCTACACCCACTGAGCGCAGTCCACTACTCGCACAGTGCCTACCCGCAGGCGTCCGGAGGAAAACAAGCACGTCTTCCTCTTTGTATAATGGATCGTAGATCCCCCGCGGCGGATCTGGGCCACGTGCGATTAGTTCCTCTGCGAGCAGTGGAGCGCGCTTGTCTGTACACCGATCCTTGCCAAGCCGACCCCGTGCCCTGGGCCAAGCACGGGTGTGCGGGCATTCCTGGCCAAGCCAGTCGTAGGGCGTTCGTATATATTCGGGCACCGATCCTGGGGCCAGGACGGGCCAGGCCAGGATCAGTGCAGGTGTACCGTCGAGATGCTGACCTGGGGGCCACCTCGGGCTCAGGAAGGGCTCTGACTTTTGGGTCGCGAGGCTCGCCGCGTGGCGTGGAAAGCCCCTTCCGTTCCCAACAGCTCATCTTTCCCTGTGGTAGCAGCCCGACCGCATCGTTGGCGTCCTCCTCCTGGCTTCGCGCCGCCCGATGCGGGCCGGGAGCTCGCGCAGCTTGCCTGAGAAGCGGAAGGCGCGTGGTCGTATAGTTGCGTCCGTGCCTTGCCCTGCTCCTCCTTGTGTGGGCCCGGAGGCGAGATCCGACCGCCCGGCTCGATCCATGTGCTCGTGCCGCCCCGCCTCTCCCGATGCCCTCTGCCTCGCTCCGATCTGCCTGTCGCTCCGAGCCGCCATGCCAGACCCTTCCCGGCAGTTCTCTGCCAGCTCGATATGCGTGCAGCTTCTCGTGCGACTTGTGCGGTCTTCGCCAGACACTGGCCCCAGAAGGGACCCAGACGGGCTCCAGAAGGGAGCCAGATGGGCCCCAGAATGGTGCCAGATGGGCCCCAGAATGGATCCAGATTGGCCCCAGAATGGTCCCGAATGCTTCGGGTCTTGTCCTCTTCCCCCTCTACGCTCTGTGCCGTGCGTACGTGCACTCGCTCGTTGTTGTCGGTCATGGTGACCACTTGCCCCAGCAGCATCCACACAGCCTCCAGGGTTAATTAGCCCACATGCAGGCACCGCCGGCGAACACCTCGGGGGGGTGCTACAGGTGCCCCTGGCCCAAGGTGCCTCCAGCTTCGCGCTCAATTTTGGAGCCCCTGGGGCCCTCTGGGCTTCGTGAGGGGTGCTCTGGAGGCCGTGGGGGCCTCCCTGGAAATCTTGGGGGGCACTTTGGGCCAAGGGCACTTCTAGCAACTTCTCTTGCCGTCCAAAGTTTTTCGTCCTCTCTGGATCGCCCCCTGGGCGGCCTAAAAGGCACCGAAGAAGCTTCCAGGAAGCCTCCAGGAAGCCCCCAGAGGCCCCTGAGAGGGCCCCAAACATGCCCACGAGGGCCCTGGGATGGACACGCCCCGACAGAGTGCCACAGCGTCAAACGGACACCGAGCTCCATTGGCACCCGCTTTTTTGCTGTTCTCGCAAAGCACACCCGCTTGTCCTTGAAGGTTTGGGTTCGTGGCAGTTTGCCGTCCAACGGCATGCCTCAGGCATGAGCTCGGGCTGACAGAGCGAGACGCCTCGGCCAACCTCCAAGATTCGGCTGCGCTGTGAGGTCTCAGCTTTGGTTCGCTTCCACCGCCACATCCATTCTGTGGGTGTGTCTGCCGGCCGAAGCCTTCCTCCAGTTGCAGACGGACGATTCTAGCAGCACATGGCCCACAGGTTACCACCCACCGAACCGCCCCACGCAAACCCGAAGGCCCCCATTTGCCCTTCCTTCCCAGTGTGGGGAGGGGTGTCGGGGAACATTGAGAACAAAAAAACATGAAGCCCGCACCCCCCCTCCTGAACCCCAAATTCGGGTCGTCGGGTTGGGTGGGGGTGGTTCGGTAGGTAGTCCACAGGCGCTTCCTCCGCGAGATGCGCCTCATCCTCCTGTCCCTGCTGAGCAGCCTCTGGCCCCTGCTCTGGGCGCGCCGCGCCGCGCTGCCGGCCCCGCGCGCGCGGCGGTCCGCCCTGGCCCTCGTGGGGCCCACCGGGGCTCGGCGGGGGGGGAGGTCCAGGATGGTGGTGATGCCTAGGGGTTGGTGAGTACAGTCGGACCGAGGTGTAAGATCGAGGTCGGCTCGAGGAGGGTGCTCGAGTGTTCTTCGTGCTTGCTGGATGCTCTTGTGCATCCTGGGGAGGTGCCCTTGGATGTTCTGCTTGTTTTGGCCGGCGGAGGATCTCACATTCTTGAAGGGGTAGGTCCGTTTGACGGGACTGGTACGTATGATGTCCGGGGCCATGACATCTGCCTGGATCGCATGACCTTTGCTTCTTATTTGAACACGTCACCTGGTCCCCCCCTGGGGCGCACACACGTGCTCTGGGGGGACCGCATCGACCCCTAATCGCCTATTCTTCGCCGATAGGGTTCCGATGGCCCCGCCCTTTCAGGACTGTGCGGATTGGTCACCGGAGGCATATCGCCGATCTATCGGCGATGTATCGCCGATTCCAGGTCGATGTGTTTTCCCAGAGGGGTTTGACGAGTTATCGCCTGTCGACTTGTGGGTAGTAAGCCGGATACATCAAGGACAATTGCAGATAAGTCGAGGAGATGAAGGCAAAGCCAGGCACATCCAGGCAAATGCAGAGATCTCAAGGGAACGTTTGACTAAATCGTGGCTGCTCCAGCGCGAGTCGAGGGACGGCAGACGTCCTGAAGTTCTTGACGACGGCCCCCCCCCGATTGTTGCCCCTTCCTCTTGAGAAAGCGGTATCCTTTTCGTGGCCGAGGGTAGGCGCATCTCTCGGCCCGACTTCACAACCCTAGCGGAATCTCTGACTATAGCTCCACTGCAGTCACATAGGGGGTTGTTTGAGGATCGCTCCTCCTCTCGTTCCCTTCCTCCCTCCTCCTCCTCCTCCTCCTCCTCCTCCTCCCTCCCTACTCCTTCCTCCTCTTTACGACTCATCTCTCCTCCTTCCTCCTCCTCCTCCTCCTCCTTCCTCCCCTCTTGTGTTCCCTCCTCCTCCTCCTCCTCCTCCTCCTCCTCCTCCTCCTCCTCGTCCTCCTCCTCCTCCCTCTTCCTTCCCCAGGGGTCAGCAGGCTGCTTGACTCCACCTGAGATCTGTTTTTCCCCGACCTTGCGAAGGTGTTCCCGCTGTGTTGTCGGCTCGGGGGGGGGGGGGGCGGGATAACCCCCTCGAGATGGGGCCCCGGCCACGGGCGGAACGCCAGCAGAAGCCGGCGGAAGCCGGCGTTACTTCGGCAGACGCGTTTCCCGGCGGCACGGGCGGCCCTACGATAGTCCGCAAGATGGTCCGAGAGGGTCACGAGACGCGACATATCCACGACGCCTAAGATGGCCTCCACACGGCCCAAGAAGTTCCCAAGACACCCCAAGAGGCCTCCGAGAGGACTTCCAAGAAGGCCCCGAGAGGCAACAGTCATTGATGCTTCTTAGGTTTTTAAAGGTTTTCGCGTTTCCGCCTTTTCGGCTTCCCGACGCTCCAAGACGGCACAAGAGGTCCCAAAGATCGCCTGAAAGCAAGAGGGCGCCCAGACGGCCCAACAGGCCCCAAATACGGTCCAAGAGGCGTCCAAGATGGCCCAAAAGGATCCAGGATCGCTCCCCGATGCGCCCCCCAGAGGGGGACACGAACCGACTCTGCGAGCTCTCCCCCACAGAGACTCCCGGGAGACCCCAAGAGGCCTCCAAGAAGCCCCCAAGCGGCTCCCAGGAAGCCCCAATGATCCCCAAGAGGGCCTCAAGACTACCCAAGAGGGCAACAGGACAGCGGGAAACGCCCCCAGCACGGCCCCAGCACGGTCCGAAATCGGCCGACGACGCCCCCGACAACCCCTGACGGACCTGCGAGATCCCGGCCCCGAAAACGACGTCAACAAGCCTCGAGAAGATCTCACATCAGTTGGAAAGGACCCAAGCCGCCCGTCGTAACTGCAAGAGCTAAGCGACACAAGACGGCCACGATTTGCAGTTGTGGCCTCAGGTGCGCCAAGATGACCCCAAGACAGCCCACGATCTCCTCCACGTGGCCCAAGAGGCCTCTTAGATGTCATTCGGGCTCCACGAGGACCTCCAAGAGGCCAGCACCATTTGTTTCGTAGGTTTTTACCTTTTTAAGCGTTCTCGCCTTTTCGGGCATCTGACGCTCCAAGACAGGCCCGTATGCCCCCTGAATCGCCCCAAGGTTGCCCAAGAGGCCGCCAAGAGGCCCGCAAGACTGCCCAAGAGAGCCCCAAGTCAGCCCAAGAGACTCCCATGACGGCCCCAAGACGGCCCTAGAGACCTCCAAGATGGCCTTCAAGCGCCCTCCTCATGATCATGATTGCCCAGGGAGGGCCGTAGACCGCCTCCGAAGTTCAAGAGGCCCCCAAGAGATCCCCAAGAGAGTCCCAAGAGGCCCAGGAGGATGTCCAGAATGCCCAAATCCATGATGTCTTCTGAGATGTTCCACTGAGTTTAGCACGTTCTCGCCTTTTCCGGCTTCCGACGCTCCAAGACGGGCCAGTAGGCCCCCAGGATCGCCCCAAGACGGCCCAAAAGGCCCCCAAGAGGCTCGCAAGACGGCCCAAGAGGGCTCAAGAGGGCTCCACGATAGGCTCCCACGGCGGTTTCCAAGACGGCCCTGAAGCGCCAAAAGAGGGACTTACGACTGCCCAGGGAGGGCCCCAGACAGGTCCCCATCGGACCCACGGGCCCAGAAGATCGACCCACTGCCCGAGAGGCCCCCAAGAGGCCCGCAAGACGGCCCAAGAGGGCTCAAGAGGGCTCCACGATAGGCTCCCACGGCGGTTTCCAAGACGGCCCTGAAGCGCCAAAAGAGGGACTTACGACTGCCCAGGGAGGGCCCCAGACAGGTCCCCATCGGACCCACGGGCCCAGAAGATCGACCCACTGCCCGAGAGGCCCCCAAGAGGCCCGCAAGACGGCCCAACTGGGCCCCAAGACGGCCCAAGAGGCCCCCGAGACGGCCCAGGACGGGTCCAGAAACCTCTAAGACAGCCCTCAAGCGAGCCCCAAGACGGCCCCCGACGGCGAAGAGGGCTTACAGAGGCCCCCAAGAGTTCCACGAGAGACGAGGCCTTCAAGAGGCCCCTCAGAGCCCCCCAAAAGGCTTTTAGGGAGCCCCCAGGCCTCAAAAGGCCTTCTCCTCCTGTTCTTTCTCCGCCTTCCCCTCCCTCTTCTCCTTCCCGCCAGACTGTGGGGCCTTCGGGTTCAGCTCCCTATGGGGCCAGGAAGCGTGTGAGGGGTGTGCCGAAATGGGCGTGGGTGACGCATGCGGGCGGTGGCATTGGGGCCTTCGGTGCAGCTCCCTATGGGGCCACGAAACGTGTGAGGGGTGTGCCAAAATGGGTGCGGGTGACGCATGTGGGCGGTGGCACTGGGGCCTTCGGTTGAGTTCCCTATGGGGTCACGAGAAACGTGTGAGGGGTCTGCTGAAACGGGTGATGACGATGATGATGGAGGAAGGAGGAGGAGGGAGGAACGAACACGCGGGGCGCTGTCTCTTCAACACGAGGACCCAACACCACAGGACGGTTGGGAGAAAAAGACAGACACAAATAATAGTCGATTCCTCATATGAGAAAATGGAACAGATGGGACGTCGAGAGGAAGACGAACATCCAGAATCTAGGCAAACTCTTCGGAATATTGGGAACAGTGTCTATTTATGTGTGTGTCCTTGGGCCCCCGCATTGTATGCTGCTCTCCGGCGAGACGGCGGATCCTGCCCTCCGCGGATGGGTGCGGTGAGGCGCTGCTGTCGCTGTCGATGGTGATGTTCACCTTCGTGGTGGTGTTCATGCAGGGCCTGGCAGAGCGCCCCGAGGAAGCGGGCGGAGGATCGTCAGAGGAGGAAAACGCTACCCATATCGTTCAATCGGGCATGTCCTTCTACAGGGGGAAAATTCAAAATATTCTAGAATAGTGAAGGGACGACTTTTTGACTATTTCTGAACATTTGTTGGCAAGTCTTTGTTTGTTTCTCAACATCCGCCTGTGGGAGGACATGCCCGACCTAACCATGTTTTTGGGCTTCCTGGGAGGCCCTCGTCGCCACCGCTGGAGTCGCCTCGAAACTCTGGTCGAGCGCACCCTTGGAGAGGTGAGGGGAGTAGCGGCATTGGTACCTTGTGCCCCCCCCCAGATCGAGCATCGAGGGCGGAGGCTTTCGAGCGCTCGTGGCTCGTTTTGGGCCTGCAGAGGGCCTCCCGTCGCCTCGGATAGAATGAACGGGAGACATTTTTGGTCGTTTTAGGCGTCTGGAGGCCCGGTTCGAGCCATGTCCCGCCCCGTCCTGAACCACGCGTTCACGCAGAGCTTATCCTGCACGCGTTTACGCACCGCTCCCCTCCTCCCGCTGCTTGTCCTCCTTTCCTCTCCCCGCTTCCTCCTCAATTGGCAGCTTATGCCTCTGCCTGCATGGGCTTGGCGTGCTGATGGTTGAACGCCGCTGTCGGCCGATCCTTAGCTTCATTTTCTGCTCTGGCTCGCTCTCCAGCCGCTGCTGAGCAGCGTTCGCCGAGTTGGGCACTTCAGTGCCCGCCTATCTCATGATGTTTATATTGGCGAGTGCTTGCGCCCAACTTCTAGTTTTCCTTTTGTTGCCCTTCTTGCTCGTTGGTCTCCTTCTCCCCCTGTCGCCCTCCCACTGCTTGCGTTCGGCACCAGTGCGAGCCCCGCTGGCTTGAGCTAGCTGGTTACGCACGCGCGAGTTTCACTGTCCTTACTCCTTGGAGCTGCTTCCTTCGGGCGTCGGACTTTGTAAGATCGGCCACGCTCGCAGGACATGCTGCTCGCATGTTGCGGGTATGCCTGCAACGCCTTGCATTGTCCAGTATGTGGTCAGCGTCAGATTCCTCCTCCTCCTCCTTGTCCTCCTCCTTCTCCTTGATTGCCGTGACAGGAACCCGGCCAGCCACTTCCGAGCTCTGCCGCTATTGTGTTACAGAGCGGTGCGAGCCCATGTCTGCGCGTTTTGTCTGGGGGTGGCTGCGCTCGTTGATGGTTCGGCTATAGCCCCCCATGTGGGGATGCGGATTCGATAGAAGCTGTCGGGCGCTTGTGCACGGAAGAAAAAGTCCCGCACGCGCTCGCACAAGCGAGTTCGTCTTGGTCGGCGCAGTCGGTCTCAGTTATCGGCACGACGTTATTGTTATAGTGTGGGCCCATGCCAAGAAGCACCCTGCCTGCCCCCAGGGTGCCCGGGGTGCCTTTGGGATTCGATGGCTCTGCGACGGAAAGCGTGACGTTCCCTACCCCCAAAAAGCAGTGGACGTCCTGAGGTCTCCGGGTTGTTTTTTGTAGAAAGTCTCGTGTGGTCGAGCTTTTACTGCCTCCATATCCCCCCTTTGCTGAGCCCCCCGGATAACGATTCCCCAGGCGGTGGCTATGGCTAAGAGGGTCTTGTTAGAAGCTCGTTTTAACGTACAGAATCCAGAATCCATGGTTTTGTTTGTGTGTAGAGGCTACGAAAGGCTGCCGAAGGCCACTGAAAGCAGCTAGACGCCATCCGAGGCCGCTAGAAGGTCGCTAATAAAAGGCCAGCGGTGATACATTAGAGGCCGTTGAAGGCCAGTAAAGGCTATTAGACCGAGACGGTGTGTTCTGGGACCACGTCCCTGCACCTGTTGGAAAGAGGGGCGCGCGCTCGCGCGCGCGTGCGACGAGGCCGCATCCCACGGTAGGGCGCGCCTCTGCCACGTCTCTCGGGCCCTTGGAGAGTAGCCCTTCGGCACGCCCGCGTCCAAGGGTTCACACCGCCGCGTCTTTTCGCACATTCACGGCGCCAGAGGCCCTTCGCGTCGTGGCAACCAAAAAAAAAAAACATGGGGCGGGAGAGTCTCTGCTGGCCCTCTGAGGATCGTCCACGCGCAAAGGCGGGGTAGGGGGAGGGGGGAAGGCTTCTCTCAGGAGCACCCCGGCTTCATAGAAGGCGCACGCCTCGTCTGCAGATGCAGGGCTCGCGCCCGCAGTGAAGCAGCCTCCTTCTAAGAGGCCTTCCCCCCCCTTCCTCCTCCTCCTCCTCGTGCTCCTCCTCCTCCTCCTCCTCCTCCTCCTCCTCCTCCTCCTCCTCCTCCTCCTCCTCCGCCTCCGCCTCATCCTCCTCTTCCCCTCCTCCTCCTCCTCCTCATCCTCCTCCTCTCCTCCTTCTCCTCCTCCCTCTCCTCCTCCTCCTCCTTTTTTTTTCCTCCTCCTCCTCCTCCTCCTCCTCCTCCTCCTCCTCCTCCTCCTCCTCCTCCCCCTCCTGATCCTCCTCCTCCTCCGTAGCCATTTTGGCTCAAGACGCCAAGTTCCTCAGGGGAACAAGTGGATACCGCTAGTCCGCGGCGGGCAAGACCCCTGTGGTCTGGCAGTGCTTCGCATCGTACCTGCGTTCGGGTCTGTGGGTAAACGGAGGCCTTTCCCTTTCCTGCCTGCTCGAACGCTCTGAGTTCTTCATGGGCTGAGGCCGCAATGGAGGACTTCAAGCCGTCCGTGGTCCCAAGAGAAAGAGCAAGAGGGCACGACGTGGTCAGCTCGATGCTACTGCTGCTCTGGATGCCGACGCAGATCCTGATGATGGGGCGAAGGCTGATTATGACGATCCTGCTCCTCCTGCTGTCGCAGCTCCCTCCGCGGCGACCCCAGTGGCGGCGGGCGAGGATGACGCGGACATCAACAGCGAGGACGAGTGGACCAAGGACGATTACACCAAGCAGCTGGCAGGAAACTACGTCGCCAAGAAGATGGCCGAGCACAGGGGCCAGCTCATCCGCGACCTCACCAATGTTGTCTCCGCGACGGTCTCCGGCCAGATCCAGGATTTCGCTGCTCAGCTCACTAAGCACTCTCGCGCTGCTGGGCAACTGGCTGAAGGCGTCCAACAACTTCCAGCCGTTGCCAAGCAAGCCTCTGAGCAGCTCTGTTCCGAGAAGCTGGACGCCTTCGATCGCAAGTTCCAGGAACAGCTCGACGGCCACTCGGCGCGCTTGCGCTCCGTCGAGCGCAGGTTGGATGGACACGACTCTGAATTGCAGGCGCTACGTGGCCAAATTCAAGAGCTCCGTGATGCTCTCGCGCTCGCCAATGTCAAGCCCAAGCTCCCCCCCGCCAGCGCTGCAGGCTTTGACAGAGACGTCGACGCCACAATCATCCGCGTCATGGCTTCAAAACTGGTTGACTTGTCGGCGGTTCAACAACTCATGCCGGACTGGATCATCAGTTGCGGCGCCAAGCCTGAGTATTTCTCGATTACTTCCGGCGAGCAAGTTGCCAACCAGTGCACGATCCAACTCTCTGGCGCTGCGCGCCCCGCGGCTCGGCGCGTCTCTCAGGTTCTTGGCGCCCAGCGGCTTGCCCCTGGTCAGTGGAAGCGCTTCGAGGTCATGGCCATGGACAACCAGATGGCGACGCCTCATATCGGTGCGCACACGTACCCCCAGACAGATCAAGCTTGAGATCCAGGGCCGCAAGCTCAGAGAGGCATTCAAGAACGTGGCCAGCGACACGCGTTGGTTCTTTGATCGCGACAGGGGGGTACCTTATAGCTGGATGGGGCCCTGTTCTTCGTCTCTCGCCTAACCCAGGGGGCACCCCCTCGGAGGTCGCTTGGGCCGACAACATCGCGCAGAAGCTGGCGCCCCCGAAAGAGCGGCTGGCCGAGGCTGTCAAGAGCATCATCGCGCCACCCGAGGCTGCATAGTGGTCTCTTTAAGGGTTCCGCTGCCGCTATTCACGGACGCCTAGCACCCCCCCCCCGTCTTTCTCCTTCTCATCTTGGAATACCCGCGCCCTACTACAATAGCATGGCCATGCTGCTCGACCGAAGCTCGCCTACCTCAAGCGCCTGAACTTCGCTTGCGGTATTGTGGCCCTCCCGGAGGCGCAGCAGGGCCAGGGGCAGCTCATCGACTTCCTTGCTAAGGTGGCACCGAGTGTGCGAGCATGCGCCAGCTACTGCGAGTGGTCTGCAGTAAGGGGTGGTGTAGCCACTATTATTCCTGCCGGTTGCCGCGCTGAGGTTTCTCAGCGTTCTTTGGTTCATGGGAGAGTGCTGCGAGTAGCGCTGCAACTGGATGGCTTCAGCATTTACCACTACAATGTACACAACCACGACCTGACCTTTGCCCAGCTCAACCGGGTGTCGAAAGCTTTAGCCTCTGACCTGAAGTTGGCGCATCATGACCCACTGCGCCATGTGGTTGTTCTACTTGGAGACCTCAATGTTGCTCCGCGCGCTGCTCTTCTTCTTCGCCAGCCTCATCGCCGACTCGCTCAAGGCAAAGGCCAACGCGCCGGGGCTGCTCGCTGGACTGCCGCGCTCAAGTCCACGTTGGAAATCCTCCTAGACGAGCCCACGCATTACGATCGTCACTCGCACTCAGTCTTCATCTTGGACAGGTTATGGTGCAGCTGGCCAAGTTGGATCATGACGCAGCTTACAGCCGAGCCAGTGGTGATCGATTGTCCTGAGCGCCTCGCTGACCACAATGTCAGCGATCATGCTGCGCACGTCGTGAAGATCACGCAGCGTGCTCTACGCCCAGCCTGTGATCACCGTATCCCACGGCACCTTTTCGAGAACGAAGACTTCCCAAAGCAGCTCAGTATCGTTTGCGGCAAGCTCAACTACGCGGACAAAAGCCCCCCCGCCAGATCGAACTTCACAAATGGGCAATCCGAGAAGTAGCTGCTGACCTTCGTGATCCTTGATTTCATCGAGCCCCTGAGGCTAATTCGACTCTCTTACTGCTTGCCGCGGCAAATCTCCAGGGTCGTCTGGCGCAACGACCACAAGATAGCTCGCAAGCTTATGACCAACCACTCGGCGGCCCACG